AAGCCCCCAATAAAATGATTTTTTTAAAAAAAGCTTATGGGTCTATAAAGAATTCAAACCAACAAATTAACTACAACTTCACTAAACTGATTATATCCTTGGCAATGAATACTGGAACCTCCTGTTACAGTTATGAGTCCCTGTCCCCACGGCTCCCATTCCCCAGGAAAAATATTTATCTATAATGTCTAATGTCAAAATTAAGCCAAGTATTTGCTTCTTTTACAGTGAAATAATTAAAGAAAAACGTTTAATTCCTGCCATTAACTCAAGGCCCAGGAAGCAAATGTCTCATTGTTTCTGCCACCACATATAACAAATTAGCCCTGTCCCTTTTCACCTGTTAAACACTGAGAAGCAAAACCCGACCCTACAGCCAAGAGGGCCGACGTGGTGAAAGGTTGCAGCATATTGGCAAACGACAGAGAAGAACCAGAGGGGAGATGGGCTGCATACGAAGGAGAGGGGACAGGATCACACTGAAGACTCGTACCATTAGCCCTCTCTAATTAAAAATTTTAAACTCTAAATATATTAGGCCTCTGGACCGAAGCCAGGAACAGGCGGTTAAACCAAACTGAGGACGATTGCTCTTGAAGCCAGAAAATTGGAGAAAGAGGGAGAGAGTGATTTTACCTACCAGTCCTTCTCCTCTCTTTTCCCTCGGCTGCCTCTTTCTCCGTTCTCAATGGTTCCTACAGAAAAGAGGTTCTTTTGTCACACATTCCTGCTCCCACGGAGACTGGACTATATGACAATAAAAATGTTTAAAGAAAAAAAAAAAAAAGAGGTTCCACTTCTTCTCCTTTGCTGCCCTTTCTTCACATGCTCCCTGGGGCACCCCACCTTGGTCCTTGTTGGTCGGGAATTCAATCGAACCTGCCAACAAGGACAACAACTGGGTGCGGTGCGGAGACACACAATGCAGGCGACAGGGCAGGCGCAGGCCTGTGTGTCATCAGCTGTGCTGCTGGCCTTAGCGCTAGGGCCTGAGCCTGACCCGAGGGAACGCTGTGATTGAATTAAAGTCCTCCGGGCTTCCTGTGGGCTGCATGCTCTGGAGTGTGCCGGGGGCAGAGCTTTAAAGGGCTTCCCCCAAGAACGACCCCGCCAAGTTAGGTTGGTGGAATGTGCAAAGGTGCAATTATAAAAGGCGGCAGAGCTGTGTTGGATCAACAAACACCAGTGGATCAAAAGTTCAAGAAATAATAAGTAGGCATCACCATGCACCGACAATTAGGAAATGCATCCACAAGCGGGTGGTAACTGGCACTTCAAACGAAGATATCGTCCAGGCAAATAAGACGCTGGGACAGAGCAACCTCAGAATTCATCTGACATCACAGCAAAACTGTCACTCATGGCGATGTAGGCCCAGAACTCAAACACACGATTCCTTTCAAATATAAGCCATCGCCTACTTGTAATGCAACTTTAACCTCAGGGAGAAAAGTCTTAGCAAACAAGAGGCAGGTAACAAGATTTAGCACCCCTTGTAAGACAGGTTACCAGACACTGGGGCCCTCAAAAAAAGCCAAACTCCCTGCCACCAAGACAATGTCAGCGCACAGCAGCCCTACGGGACAGGGCAGAAAGGTCCCTGTGAGAGTCTGAGACTGTAGCTCTTGACAACAGTGAGAAGCCGTCTTTCTCGGGCAGTGCAGCTGTGGTTTCAAACGGCTGACTTTGCAGTTAGCAGCCCACACGTGTCATCTCAAAACTCACACCTCGGCCATCGAGTCCATGCTGACTCATAGTGACACCCTGTGTGGTTCCGAGACAGTAACTCTTTCTAGGAGTAGAAAGCCCAGTTTTGATACCGCAGGGCTGCTGTTGGTTTTGAACTGTCAACCATGAGGATCGCAGTCCACCACAACACCACCACACCACCAGGGTTCCACGAAGCCAGGGGCCTTCAAATCACAGTCCTCCTGGGATGCCGAAAATACACACAATCCCTACTTTTCAGAAACCCAAGGCCTAGTATACAGGGACAAGTTAAAATACACACACACACACACATCAACTGCTGTCGAGTTGACTGGCTCTGGTGTTTTAGATTAGAACTATATATTACCAATTCTCCTACGGCCGATTTTTCAGAAGCTAACACGAGGCTTTTCTTCTTGCGTGCCTCGGGTGGATCCAAACTGCCAAATTTGGGTGCGAAGACAAGCACTGAAACCATCACACCACCCAAGAACCTTTTTGTGCAGAAATGGGGAGGGGAGGAGGAATGATGACAAGAATAAAACAATAATTACTATGCATGTTAAGGCAAAGGAACTGGGCAGGTGGGTTTGAAGACTTGATTGTCTGAGTTTATTAAACCCCGGCGTCTTAGTCATGCAAAGATGCTGTGATAGAAACACCACAAATAGATGGCTTGAACAAACAAAGTAACTTTCCTGAAGTTTAGGAGGGGCCCTAGTGGCGTCGTGGGTGATGTGTTGGGGTGCCAACTGCAAGGTTAGCAGTTTGAACCCACGAGAGGCTCCTCAGGAGA